CGAGGAAAGACACTTGGTAACTACCATTATGCGTAAGGTTCAATAGAGTTTAGAACCGGTTTTATCTTTCATATATTAGAACCGGTTTTAATCTGTTGTAACATATGAAAAATAAAGTCAGTTCTAAATTCTACGTAAGAACAATTTAAAGTACTCGCAAGTTTAATCTTATTTTTAATAGGGATTATTGGTTATGGCCACATTGGATCACAATTATCTGTTCTCGCTGAATCCATGGGGATGACTGTGTATTTTTACGATATCATTCAAATTATGCCTTTGGGAACTGCTAAACAAGTTAGTACGCTGCATGAACTTTTGGAACGAGCAGATTTTGTCACTTTGCATGTCCCTGAAACTGAAGACACAAAAAATATGATAGGGGATGCTGAAATTAACAAGATGAAGAAAGGCAGTTATTTGATAAATGCATCTCGCGGCACTGTCGTTCAGATTCCAGCTTTATTAAAAGGTTTACAAAGTGAACACTTAAGAGGCGCAGCAATTGACGTTTATCCACGTGAACCTAGGTCCAATGGCCAAAACTTTAATGATGAGTTAAATTCCTGGACAACTGAGCTTTTAAAATGCAAAAATTTGATATTGTCGCCGCATATCGGTAAATATAATATAAATTATCTAAAATCCATTGATAAATAGATTTTTTAATAATTTTTTTTTTTTTTTACAAATTATAGGTGGTTCTACCGAAGAAGCACAACGAATGATCGGAATTGAAGTAGCAACTGCACTTTTTAAATACATAAATTACGGCACTTCTATTGGCGCGGTTAATTTCCCTGAGATTGACCTTCGCGCTATTCAGGATACGGAAAAAAATTCAATTCGTGTTCTTTTTGCTCATCAAAATGTTCCTGGTGTGCTCAAAGTATGTCTGGTTACTTTATTGATACATCATTTTTGGTGAGATATCCAATATATTAATGTTAAATTATGTATCATAGGAAATCAATCAAATTCTTTCCGACCACAATGTGGAGAAGCAATATTCGGATTCACGAGGAGAAATTGCTTACATGATGGCCGATATTTCTGATGTTAATGAGGATGATATTCATAAGATTTATGATACTATAAGTTCAGCTAAGGCAAACATATTGACAAGAATCGTATATTAAGATGTACTAAGTAAGTGCAAAATATAGTTATAAAATAGATTTGTACCTTGTTTCAGGAATCCGTA